ATTCAACAAAGTGAGTTAATTTATCTTGGATAACCTTCTCTAGTATTTTGCTGACAAAGTGTGCTTCGTTGTATATGTTTAGTTCCTTACCTTTATTTCCAACGTCAGTTCATAGGTGTCTTCCGCGATGACAGTACTGTTTATTTTGATTTTTTTGCTTTTCTGCACTAAATCTTGCCCTCTATACCATGTGACGATGGGTTCTGGCTTTGCTTTGCATTTGCACTTCATAGTTATCAAAGTGCCCGTCTCATTTGGAATAATCCTCGGCTTTTCAATGAACGATGGAGCAAAACCATTTGCGTCGTTGGCGCCTATATGTGTTATAAGTATAGTATTTACATTATTATTGTAACATCAATCATTTCAAACATGTTTCATTGTTCTTTGCATACAGTTCTTTTATTTGCCACATTCTTGCAAAGATACTGCAACATAAAAGTGGATAGCGCATACATGAAAATACATATTTGAATAGGGTGATGATTTAAAATTTTTAGATTACACTTCAAGCTTGTGTATAGCTTAAATCCGAACAATATCTAAATAATTTATAGATGGTATTAAAAAATTAGCTGATGCGGGACGAATAGTGATATTATATATGTATTTATTATATATACAATTTCATGCCGTAAATACAATATTTATACATAAAGAAAAAAAAAAAAAAAAAAAAAAGAGAGAGGTATGTATTCATATACTTAAAAAAAAGTGAAGTAAATTTATTGTTTTCGGTTGGTTGAGGATAAAGATTATGGTGCAGTTTAAGTTCTTTTATTTGCCACATTCTTGCTAAGATAGTGCATGTAAGAATGGAATAGTTATACCTTGAAAATTAAGCGCTATATTTGCATTGCTCTCTCCATAAATATTTATCGCATTACAGCGATAGTTGCCGCCATCATCTTTTGTGGGATTTTGTATCTCGAGGGTAAGGATGTAGCTATCTTTTGTTATTGCCTTGCGGCTCATTTTGGTTCTCTGGTTGTCAGAGATTTGCTTATCGGAACAATACCATGTTATATCCGGTATTGGATGTGCTTCCAGGGTGCATTCCATTATCAAAATGTCCTCCTCTTGGCGTATTGTTGGTTTTTTGGGGAATCGCGGCGATTTCCCATCAGGAATTCTGCGTGTAAACGGAAGTATGTTTGAATAAAAGTCGTATCTTTTTTCATATATGTCATGTATATGTATATAATACACACATCTGAAGCCTTACTTTTTCGATCCGCTTTCGAAATTTAAATTAATCGTTGCCACTCCGGAGCCATGCTTATTTTTCGCGTGAGCTTTATACTCGCCCTGATCAGAGGAGACTACGCTACTTATCTCTAGGCGCGCCATGTGATATAATTTCTGATCCAGCGTCAGTGACATTTTATAGCGTTTTCCTTCACTTAGCACTGTCTCTCCATGGGACCTTTGCAATGTGATTGTACACAGAGGGAAATCATTACATTATGCTTATTAACAGTTTTGCATGCCCCGTTGCTCAACATATGTTGTAATCATTCTTGTTTCGCCTGTGGGGCTTTGCTCTTCTTTGTTAAGATCAAAGTTTTAGAGGCACTTTGATTTTGTTCGATATTTAGAATTTAAGTTTGAGTGTTCGTACCATGTCACCGTTGGTGTGGGATCTCCAACGCATCTACATTCAAATGTTACGTTTCCGCCATCTTCGCTCTGCCGGATAACGGGACGCTCGGTAAATGTGGGTTTAATTCCATCTGAACTTTCGGGAACAGGAGCCTCGTCGCCTACGAATTTCAAGTTACCATGTTACACAAATTATCCAAATATAAGTTACTTGCTTATATATACATATAATTGGATATAATTATAGTTAATTATATTCTCGCTCACGAAGTGAAAATCCGTACTTGCTCTTTTCCACAATTTTATTACAATTATTGCAGGTTCTAATTGTTCTAATTGTGTTAAATCATCGTCTACAGACATTTATGTTTATATTATATATTATAGACATAATTACATTCTTCATATATTAAATTCAACGGTCTTACGCTTTAATATAACATTTATAGTTTTTATTTTGCCATAGATTACGGAACATTTATGTAATTGTAGCTCTTCTTGTTGATATTAATTAAACATTCGAATGCAATTTGTCATATCGATCTACTGACTACAATTAAAAAGACATTCGAGCACTAAACAAGGGTCCCTTAAAACTTTTGACCAGTTAATGTGGTAATAGTAAAAGCACTATGACACTTGGAACCAAAAGACTCTTGTATACCGTCGATCTGGCTGTACGGTGTTCAGATCTGGGCAATATCTGAATATCAACAAGTATTCTATATACAAGTGTTCAAATTCCAAGATTGGGCTCCGTCAAAGTCAAACTATCGCTTTTGTCTCTAAGATTTCTTTTACTCAAGTGGATTAGCAGTTGAAGGAAATCCAGAAAGTCATAGAATTGAATGCTCCACACTTTTATTAGTAACCACTTCAACACTATGTATATACTTTATAGGGTCTGTCACGTCTCTTTCTGCTTGTTTCATACATTAAACAGCACTATTATACATTTATTAACGGGAGTATAAAATCAAAATCAGTCAACAAATTTTGTGGTCAACCACAAATTTGTGAGTTTTAATACTCATGAGTATAAAATGACTATACTTGGGTTTGTGCATGTTCGTCCGTCCATGCCCATTGGGGGCGTGGCAAATCGGAAAAAACTTTATCTCCTAGAGTTTTTGTCTTTTATGACCTGAAGATATAGTGATAAACTAAGCTACTAAATTATGGGATGTGAATGAGTGTTCTGCAATTGATACCGCCCGATTGAAACGTTCTTAATTGATTATATTATATTTTCTAAAAAAAAATGTCAAAGATTTGTGCCTTTGAATGTTCTACATCTGTGAAATCTTTAGACTTATGTAATATAAGTGTTCGATGATATAATAATTTATACAATTCATATACAAATACCTTTTACGGTAAGTGTATATAATTAAGTATAGCGTTATTACTATTTGAAGTTTAAGCAATAATTAAAATGAAATTATTGTAGAAAATAAGTATTTTTTGTGCATTGATGATGCTTGGAATTAGTTATATTATTAGCGAAGTTTATATATATATATATATATATATGTTCTTTTATGTAATTTGTATGTTATGGTCACATGATGATGTTGAATTGATTATTATTATTACACAAATAACTGCGCTCATCTCAAATTATACTAATATTTTCGTTTTATTATTGTGAATTACATCACAACAAAATATTTTGTAATTATAATAATATGATTATAAATAAATTGATCAGAACTTACTGTCAAAGTTGAGACTAATTGTTGCATTGCTTTCGCCCAGCTCATTTTTTGCATTCACTTTGTATTTGCCAGCATCCTCAACCGTAACATTTTGAATTTCAAGTGTTGCAAAATATGAGTGGCCATCTTTATCAATGGTAAGCTAGAAAACATGACAACAGAAAATTACAAGATGTTTGATACAAAGATAGTCTTTGGTTAGAGAGAAAAGTATATTGGTTTAAACAGCAATTATTTACCTTATGTCTGGGAGTCTCCTTAACAGGCGTGCCATTATGAAACCAAGTTATATTCGGTAAAGGGTCAGCATTAACACGACATTCAAACAGAAGGCGTTTACCATCTTCTTCTTGTCGTATGGCAGGTTTTTTCGCGAATGTCGGCGCGAAACCGTCGATTTGTCTGTAAATTATTAGAAACTCAGTAAAGAGCTCAAATGAAATCTCGTTCATATTAATCAACTGATAACAAATAAACAACACTGGTATTAATAGTCTTTTAAACAAACGCAATTTATTTTGAACAATATTAATCAACTGATAACAAATAAACAACACTGGTATTAATATAGTCTTTTAAACAAACGCAATTTATTTCGAACAATGTCCGTTAAAGCTTAAGCTTTAATATTTGAATTAATGGAAAAGAACCGAAAAAATATTTGATCATCCACAGCCTTAGAGCTAGACGTCCAAAGCTTCACAGATACGTTACTATACATTGAGATTAAGTAAATAAAACAAGTAAGAAGGCTCTAGTCGAGACTGCTCGACTAGGAGATACCCTGAACCCTCCAATCTGATACTCTAATCATTCTGTACTACTTTTATGCACATATACATACATACACATGCATCCGCACGCAAGTATAAAAAAAATGTATATACAAAGAAAATCTGAAATCTCCAGGTCTTAAAGTGCTCAAATGAGGCTGAAAAAACAAAATCATTTTTCGATTATTCTCGATAGAAAAATTTGTCGGATGAGTTACACGAGATGCATACAAAATTTCAGCTCTTCATACAGACGAACGGACGGACAGACGGACAGGGCTATATCGACTCAGCTCGTCGTCCTGATCAGGAATATATACACTTTATGGGGTCTGCGATGATTCCTTCTGCCCGTTACATTGTACTTTTACACAAAACCATTATACACGTATAGGCACGTGCTCTGCCAATTACGCTGCGCTGCAGTGTAGGCAATATTATGAGAATTTACTTGTTGAATAATTTATTTTGTAGTGGAACTATCTTCATGAAACTAAATATGATAAAATCGTACTACGTTTGTATACAGCAGTATGCCTACGAAATTTCAAGTCTCTAGTTCCCATAACCTTTGAGATCTAGGCGTTCATACGGACGGACGGACGAAGAGGCAGATTAAGAATATAAATATCTTATGGGGCATGCGATGCTGCCTTCGGCCTATTTAATGAGGATCAAGGAACAATTTTAATCAGACACAATCAACATAGAGGTACCTCGGAAAGTTCATTCGACTCACCTTAAGTCTTCGAGCAGTAAAAATTGGCCAACTTGTTAATAAAAAGCATCTTATTATATTACATTAATTACAACGAATTATAACATGTTTTAATAATACAATATTTAAATATCCTAATATCTAGTAAATTATCAAAATTATTTTAGTTTTATTTGTTTTAGCTAACACTCTGTCACTTTGGTATTTCAGCTAAAGTTTGGGAACATGAAAAATATTTAGCGTAAGCATCAGTTAGAGCGCAAATTAGGTATAATAGTAACGAAATTAAAAAAATTAGCTTACTTTTCTTTTGGTTCGTCAGCAGCTGATCAGAATAAGGTATGAGCGTTTAAAATATTGACGAGAATATATTAATATTACATATTATTATAATAAAAAAAAACCTTAGAGAACAAGTAACTACTCTATAAAAATACCTAATTATGTTATTAAACATCTTTGAACCTCTTATTAACCCTACTTATCCAATTTGATTGTTTCTCTCGATATCATATTTATTTGGTTTTCCCAAACTATGTTTTAGTTACTGTCTACTTACGTGTGAAATTCAAATTGATTGATGCAGAGACCTCGCCCGATTTGTTTTTGGCTTTTACTTTGTAAAGTCCAGCATCTGTTTCAACAACATCGTCAAGCTCTAATACTACCGTAAATTTGTTATCACCGATGGGCTGAACTTTAAATTTAGTTCTGACATCCTCTGTTAGTTTACTATCACTTCGAAACCACTCTATATCCGGCTTCGGGGACGACAGCAGCTGACATTCAAATATCAACCGATTACCGTCATCTTCTTGATGCAGCTGTGGCTTCTTTACAAAGCTGGGAGCGAAATCTTCAGCCACCCCCATGCTGAGATTTATCGTTTTTCCCCTTCAACGGCTCGGCAACAGGCTTTTAAGGTCTGCAACAATAGGCAGCATGTATATTCATCAAATGTAAATATAGTTAGTTAATAGTTATAATATAATTATAATTGTGAGTAGTATCATGCTTACAGTTTATCTGTCTATATACAGTTACGAAATAAAACACTGTCAGAATAATAGCACAACACAATGCAAATAAACATGTATAGATTGCTGTTTACAGATTAATCAGTAATATACATTAATGTATATATATCTATGTACGTATACATATGTATGTATGTACGTATATCGACATCTGAGTGGTGCACACGACTCATAGATATTTTGGAAAATGGAAATTTGATCCCCTTTCAACCCGTCGGTAACCGTAGGTATTGGAAAAAGAATTCATAAAAAATACATATATTGAATGTGTTTCTGATTTATTTTTAGTCTTTGGATGTCACGATTTTTGTTTTTACTAAAAAAAAAAAATTAATCAAGTAATATATATAAGTAATATATATGTGTATATATAATATAAATATTGATTAATTTTTGTTAAATATAAATGATTCATATACTAATATATATTATATATATGTATATGAATATATATAATAATGGCTGATATATGTATGTACTATATTACTCTTGTGAAGTATAATTATGTACATACATATATGAATGAAATTTTGTATGGATATTAGGCGAAGCTACATATCCATGGCCGTCAAATACATAAATACATATATACATATTTGCATGACTGCGAAAATTGGGGGCGTGAATTCGTATGGATTTCAATTGATTAGTAGCAGTTTCGTACATACTGCGAATCGTAATATTTTAAGTAAATGAGCACAGTAAGATTATATATACATATGTGTATATGTATTGCTTTTCAGTTCACTTCTTATGGGATATATATTCATATGAGCCAGATCTATTTATATACCCGTCAACCATTACACAATTCCACGAATAGACACAGCTATATAAGCATGAAACGCGTATGTAGCAATATACACACTCAGAGATATAATACATATAAATTTATTTTTAACTATGTGAAAAAGTTTTTAATTTACTACTGAAATTTAATTTGTTTAAGTTGCGTTAATAACTGTTTTTTTGTTATTATTATTATTATTATATATATAATTATATTCTTATTATATATATTATATATTATATATATTATATATTATATATATATATATATATTATATATATTATATATACATATATATTTATTTATTTATTTATTTATTTTTTTTTTTTTTTTTGGTACATACAACTATACTACAGATAACACAATGCAACCCACAGCAAGAAAAAGTATCTTCTGTGGAAACGAAGCGAACTCCACGAGTGTTGATCTATTACTGTTTCTTTTCAACTGAATCTCGCTGAGAATCAGCATCAGTCATTAGGAATTATCGAGCGAGAATAGCTTTCGCTCTCAATGTGGGGTCTACATTTTACACTCTCCCTCTCTGGCATTCCTCTCTCTTTTTCGTTCTTGCTAGTTAATTCTCATTATAGTAGTGGAATTCTGTGCATTTTAATTTTTGAGGTATATTTTATAGATATGTATGTATGTATAAATATTTGATTCAGAAGTATTGACTGGTGACACTCTCAAAATTCTTCTATATTTGCCTGCTTCCTCTTAACGAACAGAGCGTTAGTAATAAATATATTTCATACATAACAAGAAGCTTCCAGTCAAGACTGCTCGACTAGAAGGTACCCTGATCCCTCCAAGCTGATATTCTAATCATTCTGCACTTCTTTTATGCACGCATACATACATAGATATACATCCACACTCACATATAAGCCCACGCTCCGCTGAATGCGCAGATAGCAGAGACTACACTTGGGCAGCGCTGCAGTGTGGACAATATTATGAGAATTTATTTGCTGAATAATAAATACTAAACAATAAAAACTTTCAGAATGTGAATACGTTTACGTAAATACGATATCCATTGAACCCTCTAAGCAACTGATATTTCAATAATAATCCGCACACACACACGCATACAAACAAAAACAAGCACACACACACACGCATACAAACAAACACAAGCACACACACGCACATATACAGGCGATTGCGCTTAAGTTGCGCTGCAGTGCTGGCGAACTTTTAAGAATTTATTTGTTAAATAATTTAATTTCTAGACGTACGATCTTAATAAAACTCTCAGAACGTTATCATAATGTTCAAAAGTATGTATATAACAAGCACAAGTCTCTAGTATTTGAAATGCGCAATTTACAAATATCGAAATTGTATGAAATGAATCTTTATATATGTTTTAAATTTGGAGACTCTAGCCCTAAAGATGTGGGAGATATAATTTTATAACTGATTTTCGATAAGGTTTTTATCGATAACAAAATGACGGGATGAGTTATCGATTTTTAGTGATAAACTGCATATGCGCGCGCTATGTACGGACATTAAAAAAAAAATTTGAAGAGTCTAGCTCTTATATCTTCTGAAATCGACGCGTTCAAACATACGGACAGACGGACGAACGGACGGACGAACAGACTGACGGACAGGGCCAAATCGACTCAGCTAGTCGCCCTGATCAAGAATATATATACTTTGTGGGGTCTGCCCATTGAAATGGGAAATCAGGATACAATGGTTTTGCTCGTCTTGAGCTGGCGATGAGCTGAGTCGATTTGCCCTGTCCGTCTGTCTGTCCGTATGCTTGCACGCGTCGATTTCAGAAGATATAGGAGCTAGAGACATGATTTTTTAAATGAGCGTATATACAGCGTGGATGTCGAGTTTATCTTTAAAGATCGATAACTATTCCCGATATTTTATTATCGATTTTTTTAATCGATATCATTATCATTATCAATCAAGGCAGATCCCACTGTAGCTAATTTTGATTTTTAATTTTTTAAAATTGAATGAAAATCCGATTAATAAATTAATCAAAGTGTATTTTTTCATCATCATTCGTCATAATAAAATACTTTTATATTTCTATCTATATAAATATTGTTCAGCTAAAAGGTACGAAGTTCGCCGAGTAAGCTATGTAGTATTCATATATGCATTTAATACAATTTCGATTTTCCTTAAAATCTACTCCCCAACCCTATATTCACCCCCTTACCTCGCCCTCATATTTAAACATCTGAAAGTTTCATTAAGATTTTACGTCTACAAATTATTCTACAGTAAATTCTCATAATATTGACAACACTACAGCGCAGGCTAAGCACAGCCGCTTCTACTGCGCAGTTTGCAGAACGCCTGCGTACTAGAGACCTGTGCTTTGGCAATTGTATAATGATAATCTGTAAGTTTGGTGAAGATAGTCCATCGACAAGATATTATTATTATTATTCCAAAGTTATTAAACAATTATATTTCCATAGTAAGCCCACACGGCAGCCAATGCGTGAGTATGCGTGCGTGTGTAAATTATAATTGAAATATCAGTTGTTTGAAGGGTTCAGGGAATCTCGTAGTCGAGCTATCTCGACTAGAGCTTTCTTACTTGTATCATTTGTCACTGTTGTTAACTGAATTCAAAATGTTCAGCATATGACCTATATTCTATTAAATACTAGCTGGCCCGGCAAACGTTGCATTGCCCATTTATTAATCGGATTTTCATTCAAGCACCTTGTGGTAAACGACATTCTTTGTTTTTTGGT